CCAGGAGTTGGAGGTTGCTGTGAGCTGTAATGCCACGGCACTCTACCCAGGGGGACAGCTTGAGGCTCTGTCTCAAAAAAAAAAAAAATAATCATGTAAATTTTATTTGATATTAAAATATTTTGTAATGCAGATACATTCTTTTTCCTTTTTTTGTTTTTAAATTTCAAAATATTAAGGGAATACAAATGTTTTGTATAATGCTTGAGCCTGGCCTATTAGTGTGCCCATCATGAGAATAGTATTAATTATACCAGATAGGTAAGTTTTTATACCTTACTCCTCTCCTAACTTCCACCCCCAACACCCCCACTTTTCTTTCTTTTTTTTTTTTTTGAGACAGAGTCTCAGTCTGGAGTGCTATGGCATTAGCCTAGCCTAGTTCACAGTAACCTCAAATATCTGGGTTCAAGCAATCCTTTTGCTTCAGCCTCCTGAGTAGCTGGGACTATACGTGCCCACTGCACCATCTGGCTAATTTTTAATTTTTAGTAGACATGGGTCTTATTCTTGCTCAGGCTAGTCTCAAACTCCTGAGCTCAAGTGGTCCTCCTGCCTCAGCCTCCCAGAGTGCATGAGTCATCATGCCCAGCCTTTTTTCAGACTTTTATTTCCTTTTTTTTTTCCGGAGACAGAGTCTCACTCCATAGCCCTGGGTAGAGTACTGTGGCATCATTACTTACTGCAAGCTCAATCTCTTGGGCTTAAGAGATCTTCTTGCCTTAGCCTCCCAAGTAGCTGGGACTACAGGTACCCACCATAATGCCCAGCTAGCTTTTCTATTTTTTCAGCAGAAATGGGGATCTCACTCTTGTTCAGGCTGGTCTCAAACTCCTGAGCTCAAGCAACTCACCTGCCTTGGCCTTCCAGAGCACTAGGATTACCAGCATACGCCACCACACCTGGCCTTTCATATATTTTTAATTAAAGGTTATGATTTTTTTTTATTTATTTTTTCTCTTTTATTGAGTAGTAACTGTGTACAAGGTTATGATTTTTAGAATGTAAGTTATGTGATCCTAAAGTTTAGATGGACAAAATTATCTACAAAAATTATGTTTAGATGCTATCATTATGTATTATACAGTAGTAAATTAGTATATTAGTAATAAAACATATATACTAATATATGTACATATATTAGTTATATGTTATATTTAAGAAACTCTTATGTTTAGATAAGGTATTTTATTTCTAGAACTATGAAGCAGATTTGTTTGGACAAATTTTGAAAATTATTTCTCTTTCTCTCTTTAAAGGGACATTTAGTAAAAACTAATGCATATCTGGATTTTTGTCTTAGAAATATAATGAAAAGACCATTAGTAAAACACTGGTTAAAATACTTCTTTCAGAGCCAGGCTCCTGCCTGTAATCCCATCTTTGTGGGAGGCTAAGGCAGGAGAATCACTTGTTTCTAGAAATTTGAGACCAGCTCTGGGCAACATAGCAAGATCCCATTTTGAAAAAAATGGTTTTCACTATTATTGTTAAAGTATCCCAATTACCATTTTTAAAACACGTATGTTTGAGATACCTAAGTTAGGTATGTTTCTAATGATGAAGAAAACAAATGTGGAGTTCCTTTGTATCAATTCGTTTTTTTGTTTGTTTGTTTTTTTGAGACAGTCTCACTTGGTCACCCTTGGTAGAGTGCTGTTTTGTCTTAGCTCATAGGAACCTCAAACTCTTGGGTTCAAGTGATCCTCTTGCCTCAGCCTCCCAAGTAGCTGGGACTCAGGCGCCTGCCACAATGTCGGACTATTTTTTAGAGATGGGGTCTTGCTCTGGCTCAGGCTGGTCTTGAAACTGAGCTCAGGCAATCCACCTGCCTCAGCTTCCCAAGTGCTGGGATTGTAGGCATGAGCTACTGTGCTTGGCTTTTGATTCAGTTTTTAACCCAATATGTTCCTTTATTGGTAAAGGTACTATATGTCCAGATTAGCTTTTTAACCCAATCTCCAGAAACTAGAATTATTTTATCCATCATTAATAGTTATAATTGCATCTAATTAGGTATTTGAACATTTACAAGAAATCAGAATTAACTAATAAGGAGTAATACAGTTCAGGACCTTCAGATATTTCCCATATTTACACATTTGTGTCTATGGGTATAATAAAAATGTGAGTTATTTTAAAATAAAAAGAAAGGTGAATAATGAACCTCTTATGCCTAACTTCAACTGGATGTGATGGCTCATGCCTATAATCCTAACACTTTGGGAGGCCAAGGATGGTGGAGTTTGAGACCAGACTGAGCAAGAGTGAGATCTCAACCTTGTGTTTTCCTAAAATTAGAAAAACTAGCCAGCGTAGTGGCAGGTGCCTACAGTTCCAGCTACACAGGAGGTTGAGGTGGAATAAGATAATTGTGCCTGCCCTCCTCTGGATAAGGGTAGCTCTTTAGAAGCTGGCTTAAGTTAACCCCTAAGATACAGTGTATGAGAGAGCCTTCCTAGCATACTGAGGTAAGTACTATGTTGCCCCTCCTCCCCAGGATAGGAAGGGTAAAATTGACACTGGGGAAATGACCGGAAAATGTCTTGAGGAACAAAAAGGGGATAAAAATGTGTTTTGTTTCTTCAAAACCCCTTACCATTTTTTTTTTCCTTTTTAAAAACTAACACCTTCTTCCCTGCCTCAGGTCAGTGGCCCTGAGGGGCAAGCGAATGTCTTTTGTTCTTTGTGCTGCAAGTAATAGCTCAAGGGAATCCTCTTGGCTGAGGTCACAATATCAATTTAGTTAACATGTGATGAATCTGGATGGAGGTCACAATATTATTTTAACAGAAGATAGGATGAACCCAGGCAGAGGACATGAGGTTGTTTTTAACACAAAATGGGATTATGGGATTAATTGGAATGTTAAAATCTCCGCGGCTTTTCAAAAGGGGGGGATGGTGGTATTTTTGGAGATAGATAGGAGTCTAGCAGCCTCTCCATTTGCCAGCAAATTAATAAACTTCTCTAACCTCATCAAATACCTTGTCTCTGTTTTTCTGATGTGGCTTCTAGTAACAAATGCTGAACTTGGTAACATTAATTTACATGTCTGTAATAACTAAGGGGGGATAAATTAGTTTACTGATTATTTGTAATTTTCTTTTGACTGGCCAGTTTACAGTCTTTGTTCACTTTTCTAATTATTTGTCTTATTCTTATATTCACATATTCTAAATTAAATATGTTATACATATTGAAAAATAGATAAGAGTAGGCAGTTCCGAGAAGTGGAAATAAAATTTCATAAATGTAAAAGAAAGCACTAAATTGGCAGGAAAAGGAAATTACAAATCATACTCTTCACAGCTGTAATGTAAAAGTCTGACTATATCTTGTGTTGATGAAAACATGGAGCAAAGAGAGGTTGTATAGTTGTAATTTGGCAAGTAGTAATGTTCCTGCTATGTGACCCCATATACATGTTACATATAAATATTCTTGCATATATGCACTTGAATATACCCATTCAAGAATGTATTTTATGTAGCAGTAAACAATTGAAACAACCCAAATGTCTATCATTCAGGAAATGGAAAAGGAAATGTGATATATGTATTCAAGGAAATACCACATAATAGCCTCAAAAAGTAAGACTGGGTGCAGTACCTTACCTGCTTATTGCTAGCACTCTGGGAGGCCAGGGGGTTGGAAACTCCTCAGGAGTTCTCAGGAGTTGGAAACCAGCCTGAGCAAGAGTGAGACATCCCCCAACCCCCAACCTCCCCCCCATCTCTACTGAAAAAAAAAGAAAAGAGGAACTGAGGCATGATGATCTCTAGAGTTGAAGACGCTGGAGTTCTCAGGAGTTTGAGACCAGCTTGAGCAAGAGTGAGACACCCCCCCACTCCCACCCCCATCTCTACTGAAAAAAAAAGAGAAACTGAGGCACGCCCATCTCTAGAGCTGAAGACTGAGATTGCTATGAGCTATATACTTTACCCCAGTCTTGACAGAGTGAGATTGTTTCAAAAAAAAAGAGAAAAGTGATTTGGAGAACATTGGAGTATGTTAAGTTTATGTAAATCTAAAGATGTTACTAAATGTATCTATAAACATTTAAACATGGTAAAAGCAAAAAAAAAAAAAATGTACTAGAATGAGTACCATAAAATTCATCATGAAGTGGCCAATGCAGAAGGAGGAAAATGAAACTGGAGAGAAAGAGTTTAATGTTATCTGAAATGTTTTTATTAAAAAGACCTGAGATAAAAGTGAAAAATGTTAACATTTGTTAATTCTTGGTGATAGGAACACACTGGTTTCATAATTACCTGTACTTCTTGAATAAAAAGTAAACTTTTGAAAATTAAAAAAATGGAAATTGTTGCCGCTCAGTAACGGCGGCGATTTTCTTTGAAGACTAAAGCATTTGGTGGATACAGATGACTCAGTGATTTTACTTTGGTTTCAATTTTTGGATTTGCAGCTGAGTGAGAATGAAAGTGTCATAAATTTTACCTTACCTGGAAACATGAGTTATCTGATGACGGAAGAAATCACATTTAATGTGAGGGGATTTTATGAATTTTTATTGCCTTGGTTCACAGATCGACCTTGCCTTATGCAATCTGTAGTAATACCGAGACACATGGGATTGGGGGACGTTCTGGGAAGCATTTCTGTTTGTTGGTAACCATGGGAAACATTCCACTGGGTCCTAGAGGGATACGTGTTCTTATGGTAGAGTAGTATTTTAAATATTCACTGGCCGCCAAACTTTAAAAGGGATGAAAAAGAAATTCTATTAAATAGCGTTCTTGAAACTACTTAAAAAAAATCAAACTCAGTCCATATTTTCAGTGGGAGTTCGCGATGTATGTGAATTTCTTTTAATTAAAATCTGAATCTTAAATTTTAGTAATAAAAAGATTGAGAATTTAGATATTATAGCTTTAGGGTACGTTTGCTCGGACTTTACTCAGGGCTACAACGCTTTATGAACTCGTCTTTAGGAGATAAATTTGGGCACGTGGAGTTTACCTTTTGTATTGCTTTGTTTAAAATTGTTTAAATAGGCTTTCTGGAAGAATGATTTTGAGGCGAGAGAAATAAATCTTACTGATCCTGAAAAAGCACTAGGCAGCAGCAGAAGAGCTCCTCCTCCAAAGATAAGAACAAACTTTACACTGACCTAAAATAACCTTAGAAAAAACTGTGTAACATATAACAGCACCCTGGTTTCTTGAGAGATATAATCATTAACTCCTTTGTATCCTTTGTAGTAACTGTAATCGTGCAGCTGATACTGAGGTGAAAACAAAGGTATAAAAGAGTTTGGAAAAAACTGCTTCCCCGGAACTCAGCATTTTATGCCCGGAGCACCTGAGTTCTCCGGGCAATCAAGGGTTCCTTCTATATTCTTGGTTATAAGTGTCTGTCAGTTTTAATTCGCTATTTCTTTCCTGCAACAATTCGTAGTTTTATTACTGAACCTCAAATACTGTGCCAGCAGAGCAGTTGTAAGGAATGTAGAAAAAGTTGTTTTTCTTTCATACCCATGTGTATATGAAGAATTTTTACAATGACAGAATTTTTCGTAAAAATTAAACCACTTTACTCCATTAGCGTCTAATTTTGTTGAGATATAAGTATAATAAGCCAGTATGTTCAGAAAGGGGTTTGACCTTTTTAGTATTACCGATAAAGTTGAACAGAAGCAGGGTTTGTGTATTTTTCCCTTTGTTTGTCTTTTTCTCCCTTAAAAGAGCAGAGCAGGACATAAAGTACTGGAAACTCCAAAAGGGAAATATTTACTCGAGTATCTATTTAAATAAGTTTAGTTGCTGACGTTCTCTTAGCTAGCACGAGGCCCCGGCGCAGTAGGACTAGTTTGTCTACATCGGGCCACCGTCTCATCAGCGTTACGGAGTGTTTTGTCCTTCTGCAGCCGCCGTCCCTGATATGATTCACGGAGTTCCAGGACAGGGGAACTTGTGTTACGGAGGAGCCGGCTGGTGTTACCGGCACCATGGAGTCACCTTTTAGTCCGATACTTTCTCACAAGCCGGATGAAGACTGGGGTGAGTGGGATCTGATAATGTACTGGGATGGCTGGGGTTCGGGTCTGAGGGTTTCTTCCTCCCTACTTCCGCCCGCTCCTGATGACAGGTGTGGACGAACGCTGACTGTGTAGTGAGGCCACTCGTTACTCCGACCCGCCCTCCTAGAAGAGTCGCGGACTCGTTCGGCTTCTGTCCTGGCCACAGCGAAAGCAAAATGCTGTCTAGTTGGAATTACTATCGTAGGCACCCCCCCCGCCCCCCAGTCTGTTCCCTTGGGGAAAGTACCAGGTGATCTTTCTGTGGGGCGAAAATTGAACGTCAGGAAGCTTAGGGCAGGACAGCTACAGGCTATTTTGTGGGGTGTGGGCGGTGATCTCAGTGGAGTGTGTTTATGTTTGTGTGGTGTATATGAAAGAATGTGGATGTGTACAAAAAATACTCGTCTTGGAGCTTACACCTGAAACAGTTGATGTCCATTTTGGCAGAGAAGCAAAGAATCCAATCACTTGATCTTTGGTCCATGATTACCTACACCTTACACTTATAAACTAATGTAATCCTTCGTGCTGTCCAGGTACAGCTCTGAATTTTACTGTTAAGGATATTCTGTTTGGTTGATTTGGGTAGTCAGGAAGTGTGAAATGGAATGTAGTGGAATTGGGAGTGGAGAAGCTTTGCCGTCGAAGTGTTTAGAGGCAATTTTTTTCCTCCCTCTTGATTGCAAGATAGAATTCTAATATTATTCTTGGGTTGCAGTATGAATTTGGGACTGTGTTGGTTCCCCATTGGGCCCTCTTGTGAGCCTAACTTTGTAATATGGGGGGAACCCAGACTGAATACTTATCTTTCTCTCTGTCTCTTACTGAGTCTTACTCTGTTGCCCCAGGCTAGAGTGTCATGGGGTTAGTGTGGCTCCTAGCAACCTCAAATCCAGCCTCCTGAGTAGCTGGGACTACAGGCACTCACCAAAACGAGTATTTGTATTTTTAGTAGAGACAGGTCTCACTCTTGCTCAGGCTGGTCTTGAACTTGTAAGCTCAAGCAATCCCTCGCCTCAGCATCCCAGAGTGCTAGGAAAACAGGCATGAGTCACCGTACCTGGCCTTTATTTTTCTTTCTTGGACCGTTATTCTCAGTAGTGTGAGTGGAATCTCAACTTTATTTATTGAGTGAAGTCCTTATTTAATTTTCCTTTTATTTATTTATTTGGCGACTCTGGTGGGGCATGAACCCACAACTTTTGAGTACTTATTTAATTTTTCAAGGGCAGACATTCTCTAAAATTATCTTCCATTAAGATTTTTTTCAATCTTTAGGCAATTTTCTAAGAATTGGTGGAAAGGCTTTTAGAGACTTTTAATTTCAGTGCATTTTCCTAAGCCAAATATGTTAGTAACAGTTACTATTTATTTCAGACTTCTTTGTGTCATGCACACTACTAAGCTCTTCACATGCATTATTTTATTCATCCTCCAGTCTAGTGAGATATAGCCACTTTGCAGATAAGGAAACTGAGGCTTAAAAGGAATTTGTGCTAAATCTTAAAGCTAATAGCGGAAGCAGTATCAGAACCTGTATTGTCTACCTCCAAAGCCTGTGCCCCTAATCTCTATTCTGTAATGCTTCTAAGTTATTTCTACAGATATGATTCTTCATATGCTCTCTAGTTATTAACAAGTCTATTTCAGTATATTGGGTAGTTATGATTTGTTTGTGAGCGTTTCGTGATAGTATTATTAAATTTTGCCTTCTGTATTAGAAGCTGCATTTTCCTGACTAATCTGATAATTTGATTCCCAGTCTTAGTGTTCTTTAACTGTGCTTTCAGTTCTTTGTTGTCAATTCACTGACTCACCTTTCTCAGGTATCCTACCCACTGGCTCCAATTGTGTCCATTTCCTGTTGTTTTCCAGGTTCCCCTTTTCAAACTGTTAACAATCTTTTGTTGGTTGAACAAGTAAATTCCTTAGGTGTTCAGTGAGTATGATGGATTTTGTAGGCACTAGAGTGAAACAATACTATCTGCTGTTGTTTCTTTCTCGGGGAGTTGTTGTTTTGGGTGTTCAAGTACTTTGGTGATTTATTTGATTTTTGGTTTTTATTTTATTTTTGTTTTTTTGGAGACAGAGTTTCACTTTGCTGCTCTTGGTAGAGTGCCATGGTATAATAGCTCACAGCAACCTCAAACTCTTGGGCTTAAGTGATTCTCTTGCCTCAGTTTACCAAGAAGCTGGGACTACAGGCGCCTACCATAAAGCCTGGCTGTTTTTAGAGACGAGGTCTCTCTCTGGCTCAGTCTGGTCTCAAAGCTGTGAGCTCAGGCACTCCACCTGCCTTGGCTTCCCAAAGTGCTAGGATTATAAGCGTGAGCCACACGCCCAGCCTGATTATTGGTTTTTAATATTAGAAGGTAACCAGTTAAATTTAAAAAATCAGATTATTTAATTAGTACTTGTTGTGACTCAACCAACTTGAATTTTTTTTTTTTCACTTTTTGGCCAGGGCCGGGTATGAAGACTAATCCAACTTAAAATAATTTAATTGCAGTAATTAATTCAGAGAAGACTGAGGGATGTGCTTTCCTCTTTAACTTGGGTAATGAAATTGTAGGGCAGAGGTATGCAGATATTTTCTCTAAACGTCCAGATAGTAAATATTTTAGGCTTTGTGATCATGTAGGCTCACACTTACTCAAGCTTGCTATTATAGCAGAAAAGTAGCTATAAAAAAATATAAACAAGTCAGAATGGCTGTATTCCTATAAAACTTTATGGACACTGAGATTTGAATTTCCCAGAATTATTTTTGATACTTAATAGTCATACTTTTCTAGTTCAGTTTTAGATTTACACGGTAATTGAACAAATAGTACACAGAGTTCCATATTCTTCCCTGCAGCCTCCCCCAGCCCTATTTCCTCTATGGGTAACATCTTACGTTAGTGTGGTACATTTGTTATAACTGATAAGCCATTTTATTAGGTTGTTATTAACTAAAGTACATGGTTTACATTAAGTTCACTCTGTTGGGCATTCTGTGGGTTTTTAAAAATATATAATGACATGTGTCCATCATTACAGTATCATACAGAGTATGTATGCCCTAAAAATTGTCTGTGCTCTACCTATTCATTCCTTCATCTCTCCTCTGGAGCCCCCAGGTAATCACTGATCTTTTGACTGTCTCCATAGTTTTGCCATTTGCAGAATGTCATATATAGTTGGAATCAGACAGTATGTATCCTTTTTTTTTCTTAAGTTTTAATTTTTTCTTTAAGGCTAGTCAACTGAAGCAGTGGGACTGGAGAAGGAACACGGGAATCTGTAACTGGTTGTGATTAATTAGTTGTAAACACCACTGCACTTGGACCAGCCTTTTTTTGTTTTGTTTTTTGAGACAGTCTCACTATGTTGTTCAGGCTAGAGTGTCATTGCATCAGTCTAGCTCACAGACAGCAACCTCAAAACTCCTAGGCTCAAGCGATCCTCCTGCCTCAGTCTCCTGAATAGCTGGGAGTACAGGTGCCCACCACAATGCCCAACTAATTTTTTCTGTTTTTAGTAGAGACAGGGTCTCACTCTTGCTCAGGCTGGTCTTGAACTCCTGAGTTCAAGAGACCCTCCTGCCTCAGCTTCCCAGAATGCTAGTATTACAGGCATGAGCCACTACGCTGGCCAAAATTACTTTTTAAAGAAGTTCATGATCTGGGCGGTGCCTGTGGCTCACTGAATAGGGCACCAGCCCCATATACCGAGGGTGGCAAGTTCAAACCCAGCCCTGGCCAAATTGCAACAAAAATAGCTGGGCATTGTGGCGGATACCTGTAGTCCCAGCTACTTGGGAGGCTGAGGCAAGAGAATCACCTAAGTGCAAGAGCTGGAGATTGCTGTGAGCTGTGACGCCATGGCACTCTACTGAGGGTGACAAAGTGAAACTCTGTCTCAAAAAAAAGAAGTTCATGATCACTGACTCTATAGTTGCTCTTTGCTTGTTGTCTCTAGAATCCACTCCAGTGAAACTATTGTTTCTAAGGTCACCGCTGATTTCCATATTGCTAAACCCAGTGGACATTTCTCATTTTACTAAACTTATACGAGGTAAATGAATAAATAAATGGAGAAAGTAGAGAGAGGTAGGAAACCTTACTGAGCGAACTAAAAATAATAGCTACCATACTTTACCATTGTTGAGGGGAATCTAAATAATAATAGTGTGGGATTGGTAAAAAGGGTATAGGAGTAGGCAGTAAGTTTTAGAGATACTTTAGGGGTAACCAATGGTTCCAGTTTCTTATGGATTCTTTTGGAATATGCTATAAATATACAAGTATATATATCAACGCACTTTCATTTTTTTTTTTTTAAAGATAGAGTCTCACTTTGTCACCCTGGATAGAGTGCTGTGGTGTCATAGCTCACAGCAACCTCCAACTCTTGGGCTCAAGCTATCCTCTTGCCTCAGCCTCCCAAGTAGTTGGGACTATAGGCGCTGGCTACAACATCAGGCTGTTTTTAGAGATGGAGTCTTGCTCTGGCTCAGGCTGGTCTCAAATTCCTGAGCTCAGGAAATTTGCCAGGCTTGGCCTCCCAGAGTACTGGGATTACAGGCACGAGCCACCATGCCTGGCTCCCACCTTCATTTTTAACCACAGCAAAGTTGAAAGATCAGTAGTTATAACTCACATTTTCCTTATCTAGATTTACCAACTGTTGATATCTTGCCACATTCACTTTGTTTCTCAATATTACACACTTCTCTCCTCTTTCACCGTCTGAAGGGGAAACTCCTAAATACTGTGTTTCTTAAAAACAAGGAGATAATTTATTTTTAAAAATTATGCATTCATATTAATACCCACAGTTTAAAGCCAGCATTACAGAGTTCTTTTCACCTTGCATCCTATACTTGTATTTCTCCTCTCCCAATGAGGCTCCTGACTCACTATAACATTCTTTGGTTTTTTAGTTTCACTAGCTGCTCTGACTGAAATATGAGCAAGGCCGGAAGCAAGAAGGCTA